CACAATAAAATTAAAGTTCTGCTGCTTAGTGTCTTTCAGTTATTATTTATCAACCTTCACCATCGTCTACCTGAGAATTATTTTGTCAAAAATTTTTGCATATATATTTTTGCTTTAACTCCACATCAACAAATTAATGTACCGTATTTATTAATTATAACTAATAATAACTGATTTTAAGTTGCTGGTGGGCAGCACTTAAATTACAACTACGGTTTTGCCATGTAGAATATCTCTAAAAGCAACAAGTGGCAACTTCTAACAGAATAAAATGTTATAGATAATTTTGTACTGCAATCACGAACACAATTACCAACGCAAACAAATAACTGGGACAAGAATGAATTAGTATTATTACAAAGCTGTTGTTCACTGAGAACATTTGCAGATGTATTTCTTCACTAATTAACATTCCCTTATATTAACTTAACAGATTACAGTTGATTTGACTGGTTCAGGAGTCAGGTAGGGCATTTTATATGTGTAACAAACGCAAAACATATTTTATTTTCTAAGTATTGTACGTACTATGAGAGCAGAAATATACATATATCCATATTGCAGTATTTTCTCTAACCTAATGATGCAGTAACTTCTTTCTATAAAATATAGAGGCGAAACAACATGATATACATCACCATGTACAAGTCTGGCTTAGAGCAAGTAAGTTTATTCAGGTACTGTACATAAATACAGTTACATAGATTATCATACATAGCAGCATATGTGTAGAGAACCTATGATTACCCAAAAAAGTCAAAGTGACTTATTTCCATTGGAAAACTCTTGAAACCCTTCATAAGTACATAGTATAACATTTTTTTCCATTGTCTGATGCTAAACTGAAATGGAGGCCATGATTAATCTATAAATTACATAACTGATCACAGCTCCTAAATGATGTAAGTAACATAAAGCTGAGTGCATCGATAAATTTAGTGATTTTGTCACAGTATTACGATTATTCCAAGTTAAGGGTTCTTCATCCAAGAAATTGTAGCTATCCTCCCTCAAATCAAATCTGATTATGTATCTGCTATTCTCCAGGTGCTATATGACCCCTCCCCCTGTTTTTTTAACACACCGGCCATCTCTCACTGCGGCCCCTCACGGAAGGTTCTTTGAAGTTGGTGAGGGGCTTTTGATTTAGGGAATTGGATCTGTGTTCCAGTTCCCCGAATTAAACCTGAATGCCTTCCACATCCCCCCGGCACTGTATAATCCTATGGGTTTAGCGCTTCCCCTTGATTATAATAATAATAATCTCACTGCGGCAAGTGACCTAATAAAGAAGAAAAAAAATTTTCTTTTTACATTTACTGATTTATACAGGTGAAGGTTACTAGCACCTTGCTCCTGGCATCTTAGTTGCCTCTTAAGACCTCTTAAGACATGCATGACTTATAATAATAATATATCTTTATTTCTACAAGTACATGTACAAGGTATACAGGCCTAGCTGACATCAGTGACATACTATATAGAAAGCTGCTTGTTATGCAGAGCATTTTGGACAAATTAGGTCAGTTTTGTCCCAGGATGCAACCCACACCAGTCCACTAACACCCAGGTACCCATTATTACTGATGGGTGAACATGGACAGCTGGTGTAAGGAAACACGCCCAATGTTTCCACCCCTTTGCCGGGAATTGAACCCGGACCTTCACCGTGTGAAGTGAGAACTTTAGCCTCCAGGCCACGTGGCACAGGAGGAAGTCCCCTCAGGGGAGAGTCTTCGATGCTGGTGAGGGGCTCTTGATCTAGGGAATTGGATCTGTGTTCCAGAGCCTGAATGCTTTTTATCATCCCCCACCGGTGCTGTATAATCCTTATGGGTTTAATGCTCCCCCTGATAATAAGGATTCTTCTCCACTTCCCCACGGAGAATGGCCTCTAGGAATAGTAATAATAATGATGATAATAATCCAAATTGAGAAAACAAACATAGACTGGATAGTTTAACAAGTGACAGTTACAAACAACTGCACTGCTCAGTGCTATGACCCTTATGGGTTTAGCACTTCCCCTGTTTAAAATAATTTTTCCAGATTCACTTGAAGAAAAATGACTGAGCTAGAGCCAAAAGGATTATAGAAGAATTGTTAAGTGTGTTAAATGATCTCAACAAGGAGAGAATGGAAGAATATTAACAAAATTATTTAGAAAGACGAAACTAGTTTCTAACTCAAACTTGCTTCACAAATTCTAAATGAGTGATTACCAAGTCAATATGGAGGTGAAACAGCATGATATACACCACCAATAGTTTGTTATTATAATGCTGCGTATTTCTTCACTGGACTTGTGGTTGGACTTTTGGGTTTAGTACTTAATTCTTACACAAAAATTTAATTATAATAACAGCACTTAGTTCTCATTGTAATAAAAATAATAATAATAATAATATTTCTTCACTACACTGCAAATTAATTCCCCACTACTCACCCTCGCTGGTCTCTGATCTGACATGTTACATATTTAGCACATCCTACCCACCAGCATTGTATGACCCTTGTGGGTTTAGCACTTGGTCCCCTCAAGGGAGATTCCAATTCCCTGAATTAAGCCTATACAGTGGACCCCCGCTTAACGATCACCTCCAAATGCGACCAATTATGTAAGTGTATTTATGTAAGTGCGTTTGTACGTGTATGTTTGGGGGTCTGAAATGGACTAATCTACTTCACAATATTCCTTATGGGAAAAAATTCGGTCAGTACTGGCACCTGAACATACTACTGGAATGAAAAAAGTTCGTTAACCGGGGGTCCACTGTATACCTTCCAACCCCTCCCCGCAAATAGGCGCTGTATAATTCTTAAGGGGTACATTAGAATGTACCACTCCATAACCTGTGTCAGTATAGAGTAAGAATTAGTATTAGTCTGCCCAAAATGCCTAGGCATGCTAGTGGCTTTCTTTGTACTTCATATTTTGTAATATGTAAATCACACATTCTAAACTTTACAAATAAATAAAAATTTTGATTTTGATAATAATAATTTTGATAATAATAATTAGTGCTTGGTGATTAGAGATGAATAGTTTTTTGGGACCTGATACTTGGCTCACACTCCAACAAGAGTGTGAGCCAAGTAATATTTTGCGAAGGGATTCAAGGAAACCTGTTAGCCAGACTTGAGTCCCGGAGGTGGGAAGTACAATGCCTGCACTCTAAAGGAGGGGTTTGGGATTTTTGCTGTTTAGAGTGACATCTAAACTGTCGTATCTGAGTGCAGTGCCTCTGGCAAGACAGTGATAGTGTGAATGATGATAAAAGTGTTTCTTTTTCTTTCTTGGGTCACCCTGCCTCTGTGGGAGACAGCCAGGGTGTTAAAAAAAAATATTCCCTACTAAGTTAAAAATACATTATTTTTATTATTCATGAACCATACAAAGTTCAAAGTGAATATATATAATTTGATACAGTGGCCTGTGGCCTGGTGGCAAAAGCTCTTGCTTCACACACTGAGGGGTCTGGGTTCGATTCCTGGCGAGGGCAGAAACATTGGGTGCATTTCCCTACAGTAGCTGTCTATGTTCACCCATCAGTATAAAATGTCACTCTAAACAGCAAAAATCCCAAACCCCTCCTTTAGAGTGCAGGCATTGTACTTCCCACCTCCGGGACTCAAGTCTGGCTAACAGGTTTCCTTGAATCCCTTCGCAAAATATTACTTGGCTCACACTCCAACAACTCATCAGGTCCCAAAAAACTATTCGTCTCTAATCACCAAGCACTAATTAGTGGGTGTTAGTGGACTGGTGTGGGTTGCATCCAGGGGACAAAATTGACCTCTCTCAGCATAACAAGACCCCTCAAGGAAGGTTCCTTGATGTTGGTGAGGGGCTCTTGATTTAGGGAATTGGATCTGTGCTCCAGTTCCCCGAATTAAGCCTGAATGCCTTCCACATCCCCCCCCCCCAGGCGCTGTATAATCCTCCGGGTTTAGCACTTCCCCCTTGATTATAATAATAATAATCAGCATAACAAGTGACTTTCTACACAGTAGTATGTCACTGATGTCAGCTAGGTCTGTATACAAGGTATACAGACCTAGCTGACTGTATACCTTGTATACAGATCATAGCTGACAATGAATACCTTTCAGACAATCGATATTTATCATATTATTATTATTATTATTATAATCAAGGAGAAGCGCTAAACCCGGAGGATTATACAGCGCCTGGGGATATAGCCTTTTATAACATAGGCACGACAAGAGAGGCACAGCTGCGTTGATACATTTTCCTTTTCATCAGCCAGCTTGGGGTAATAATCAAGGATCCCCATGGAAATCAAGAATTCTTAATGGAAAGCAAGGACCCCCATGGAAATCAAGGACCCCTATGGAAATCAAGAATCCCCATGGAAATCAAGGACCCCATGGAAATCAAGGACCTGTATGGAAATCAAGAATTCCTAATGGAAATCAAGAATTCCTAATGAAAATCAAGGACCCTCATGAAAATCAAGGATCCCTATGGAAATCAAGAATCCACATAGAAATCAAGGATTTCCAATGTAAATCAAGGACCCCATGGAAATCAAGGGCCCATATGGAAATAAAGAATTCCTGATGGAAATCAAGGACCCCATGGAAATCGAAGATTCCCAATCGAAATCAAGGATTCATAATGGAAATCAATTACCCCAGAGAAAATCAAGGCTCCCCATGGAAATAAGTCATCATAATTTGTGTTATCCTGGAGGATAATTTACACATACGTATGATAACTGTGCTTATGTGTACCAGAGTCTAAATAACATACATAAGTGCATAAGGATTATTATTATTATTAAGGGGAAGCGCTAAACCCGTAGGATTATACAGCGCCTGGGGGGGATGTGGAAGGCATTCAGGCTTAATTCGGAGCACAGATCCAATTCCCTAAATCAAGAGCCCCTCACCAACTTCAAGGAACCTTCCGTGAAGGGTGCATAAGGAGGAAAGTTCTATGATAGAATAAGCTGTCAATGACCCTTAATACCCACAACATGAACTTGCTGATGTTTTAGTGGCCCTAAACCACCCAAAAAACACATCACAGTTTCTGTGCTTTAATTAAAACCTCCAGTGATCTAAGTGGACCTTAAAAACCAAGAAAAACAACAGAAAAAAAAAACAAGAAATAAGGCTGTATTTGCATCCTCATCTTAGGCCTAAGGTCAAAATCCTCCACGGCCTATGTAACAGGCCTTTTTATCGCTTATCTTTGGTATTTAAAAAAAAATTTACGTCTGGTAGCACAGCTCACACACATTGAGGTCCGGGGTTCGATCCCCGGTACGGGTTGAAACATTTGAACTTGTTTCCTTAAAGACACCTGCTGCCCATGTTCACCTAGTAGTAAGTAGGTACCTGGGTGTTAGTGGACTGGTGTGGGTCACATCCTGGGTGTTAGTGGACTGGTGTAGGTCGCATCCTGGGTGTTAGTGGACTGGTGTGGGTCACATCCTGGGTGTTAGTGGACTGGTGTGGGTGGCATCCTGGGTGTTAGTGGACTGGTGTGGGTCACATCCTGGGTGTTAGTGGACTGGTGTGGGTCACATCCTGGGTGTTAGTGGATGGTGTGGGTCAATCCTGGGTGTTAGTGGACTGGTGTGGGTCACATCCTGGGTGTTAGTGGACTGGTGTGGGTCACATCCTGGGTGTTAGTGGACTGGTGTGGGTCGCATCCTGGGACAAAACTGACCTAATTTGCGGGAAATGCTCAGCATAACAAGGGACTTTCTATATAGTAGTATGTCACTGATGTCAGCTATGGTCTGTATACCTTGTACATGTACTTGTATACCTTGTACATGTACTGGTATACCTTGTACATGTACTTGTATACCTTGTACATGTACTTGTATACCTTGTACATGTACTTGTATGCCTTGTACATGTACTTGTATACCTTGTACATGTACTTGTATACCTTGTACATGTACTTGTATACCTTGTACATGTACTTGTATGCCTTGTACATGTACTTGTATAACCTTGTACATGTACTTGTATACCTTGTACATGTACTTGTATACCTTGTACATGTACTTGTATGCCTTGTACATGTACTTGTATACCTTGTACATGTACTTGTATACCTTGTACATGTTGATAAATTAGACACATGTGCAACTCTCGGGTATCTTTATTGAGGAAACGTTTTGCCACACAGTGGCTTCATCAGTCCATACATAGGAGAAACTTGAAGAACAGGAGGAGAATGAGGTAATCAGTCCCTCAACCTTGAGTCGATGTGGTCAGTCCATCAATCTTGATGGACTGAATTGATGGACTGACCACATCGACTCAAGGTTGAGGGACTGATTACCTCATTCTCCTCCTGTTCTTCAAGTTTCTCCTATGTATGGACTGATGAAGCCACTGTGTGGCAAAACGTTTCCTCAATAAAGATACCCAAGAGTTGCACATGTGTCTAATTTATCAACATGTCGGTTCTCTGAACCATTCATCTACAAACCTTGTACATGTACTTGTATACCTTGTACATGTACTTGTATACCTTGTACATGTACTTGTATACCTTGTACATGTACTTGTACACCTTGTACATGTACTTGTATACCTTGTACATATACTTGTATACCTTGTACATGTACTTGTATACCTTGTACATGTACTTGTATACCTTGTACATATACTTGTATACCTTGTACATGTACTTGTATACCTTGTACATGTACTTGTATACCTTGTACATATACTTGTATACCTTGTACATGTACTTGTATACCTTGTACATGTACTTGTATACCTTGTACATGTACTTGTATACCTTGTACATGTACTGGTATACCTTGTACATGTACTTGTATACTTTGTACATATACTTGTATACCTTGTACATGTACTTGTATACCTTGTACATATACTTGTATACCTTGTACATGTACTTGTATACCTTGTACATGTACTTGTACACCTTGTACATGTACTTGTATACCTTGTACATATACTTGTATACCTTGTACATGTACTTGTACACCTTGTACATGTACTTGTATACCTTGTACATATACTTGTATACCTTGTACATGTACTTGTATACCTTGTACATGTACTTGTATACCTTGTACATGTACTTGTATACCTTGTGCATGTACTTGTATACCTTGTACATGTACTTGTATACCTTGTACATGTACTTGTATACCTTGTACATGTACTTGTATACCTTGTACACGTACTTGTATACCTTGTACATATACTTGTATACCTTGTACATGTACTTGTATACCTTGTACATGTACTTGTACACCTTGTACATGTACTTGTATACCTTGTACATGTACTTGTACACCTTGTACATGTACTTGTACACCTTGTACATGTACTTGTATACCTTGTACATGTACTTGTATACCTTGTACATGTACTTGTATACTTGTACATGTACTTGTATACCTTGTACATGTACTTGTATACCTTGTACATGTACTTGTACACCTTGTACATGTACTTGTATACCTTGTACATGTACTTGTATACCTTGTACATGTACTTGTATACCTTGTACATGTACTTGTATACCTTGTACATGTACTTGTACACCTTGTACATGTACTTGTATACCTTGTACGTGTACTGGTAGAAATAAAGATATATTATCAATGACATTCTATTATATAGAAAGTCGCTTGTTATGGAGAGCATTTCCTGCAAATCAGGCCAATTTTGTCCCAGGATGCGACCCACACCAGTCCACTAACATCCAGGTACCTACTTACTGCTAGGTGAACATGGGCAGCACGTGTCTTATGAAAACACGTCCCTAATGTTTTCCAGCCGTACCGGAGGCTGAAATCCGGCCCTCAGTGTGTGACCTGAGTGCGCTGCCAATCATAGTGTGACGATAGTGCCAATTTCCCCCCTTTTATTATTACAATTTTCAGACAAGTTTTTAAACCACCAGGGTCATGGTATTGCATTTTCCCTAATGGAAAACTAGGGAAAATTTAAGGCTAAATCTTCATAATTTACAACCAATATTGTCGAAGTATTTTGTGTTTATAAATTTTTGTATAATACACTTTTTTATATTATTGTATAAAAATTATATTATTTTATTTATTATTGTTATTTTGTATAATATTATATTCTCTTAAACTGAATTAGTAACCTAAAATACCTTAAAAAAGTTTTTATTTAGATAAAATTACTAATTTATCGTATTTTATGGTCGAAGAAGTTTTATCCCCCAAAAAAATAATGTGTTCATTTACCTAGAACCCGGGAAGCAGAAGTTAATTGCTCTAGGCCTAAACCTAAGCCCCGAGAAGTTTTTCCTATACAGATAGAAATCTAGCTGCTGTATTGACACAGAATGAATTGTGTAATCTAATCTTTTTAAAAAAATGTCAAACAACAAAAATAATCATAAATTATGGGGAGACCCCTAATTGCCCAAATTTATTTAACTAACAGTTGAATAAGTGGTTTGTGTATCTTCGATAAAAATTTTCCCGTGAATAAGCAGAACAGTTCTCATTTTTACACTTCTTCATGTTTGTTTTTTTTCAATATACTGTGTATATTTATTTTAATTAAGATTTCATTAAAATTTTAGTCAAATGGTCATTTCCCACCAAAGTAAGGTGACCCAAAAAAGAAGAAACACTTTCATCGTCAGTCACTCCATCACTGTCTTGCCAGAGGTGTCTTTATACTACAGTTCAAGAACTGCAACATATCTCCACCCCTCCTTTGAGTGCAGGGTACTTACTTTCCATCGCACCCCTCCCCTTGAGTGCAGGTATGTACTTTCCATCGCACCCCTCCTTCGAGTGCGGCCTGTACTTTTCCCTCTGCACCCCTCCTTCAGAGTCAGGTACTGTACTTTCCATCGCCCCCTCCCCTTTAGAGGCAGGTTTCTGTACTTTCCATCTGCACCCCTCCTTCAGAGTGCAGGCACTGTACTTTCCATCTGCACCCCTCCTTCAGAGTGCAGGTACTGTACTTTCCATCTGCACCCCTCCTTCAGAGTGCAGGTACTGTACTTTCCATCTGCACCCCTCCTTCAGAGTGCAGGTAGTGTACTTTCCATTGCCCCCTCCCCCTTTAGAGGCAGGACTGTACTTTTCCCTCGCACCCCTCCTTCAGAGTGCAGGTACTGTACTTTCCCTCGCACCCCCCCTTTAGAGTGCAGGTATGTACTTTCCATCTGCACCCCCCCTTTAAGGGGCAGGACGTACTTTCCATTGCACCCCCCCTTTGATGCAGGGGCTGTACTTTCCATCTGCACCCCTCCTTCAGAGTGCAGGCACTGTACTTTCCATCTGCACCCCTCCTTCAGAGTGCAGGCACTGTACTTTCCATCTGCACCCCTCCTTTAGGTCAGGGACTAAAATTTTCCCTCGACCCCTCCCCTTTAAGTGCAGGCCCTGTACTTTCCATCTGCACCCCTCCTTCAGAGTGCAGGTACTGTACTTTCCATCTGCACCCCTCCTTCAGAGTGCAGGTACTGTACTTTCCATCTCCACCCCTCCCTTTAGGTGCAGGGACTTTAATTTTTATCTGCACCCCCCCTTCAGAGTGCAGGCACGTAAATTTCCCTCTCCACCCCTCCTTCGAGTGAGGCACTGTACTTTCCATTCCCCCTCCTTCAGAGTGCAGGGACTTTACTTTCCATCTGCACCCCCCTTCAGAGTGCGGGCCCGTATTTTTCCACTGCACCCCTCCTTCAAGGCAGGCACTGTACTTTCCATCTGCACCCCCCCTTCAAGTGCAGGACTGTCTTTCCACGGGCCCCCCCTCCTTCAAGTGCAGGCACTGTCTTTCCATCGCACCCCTCCTTCAGGTGCAGGCCTGTACTTCCTCTGCCCCCCTCCTTCAGGGGTGCGGCATGTATTTTCCATCTGCACCCTCCTTCGAGTGCAGGCACGTACTTTCCTCTGCACCCCTCCTTCAGAGTGCGGCCCACTGTTTTTTCCATCTGCACCCCCCCTTCAAGTGCAGGCACTGTATTTCCATCTGCCCCCCTCCTTAGAGTGCAGGCACTGTACTTTCCATCTCCCACCCCCCCTTCAGGGCGGGCACTGTATTTCATCTGACCCCCCCTTCAAGTGCAGGCACTGTATTTCCATCTGCACCCTCCTTAGAGTGCGGGCACTGATTTCCATCTGCCCCCTTTCGGTCGGGCACTTACTTTCCATCTGCCCCCCTCCTTCAGAGTGCAGGACGTACCCCCCATCTCCCCCCCTCTTCAGAGTGCAGGCACATTTTCCCATCTGCCCCCCTCCTTCAGGTGCAGGCACGTACTTTCCACTGCACCCCCCTTCAGAGTGCAGGCACTGTTTTTCCCACTGCACCCCCCCTTCAGAGCAGGCACTGTACCCCCCTTTCCCCACCCCCCCTTCGAGGCAGGCACTGTACTTTCCACTGCACCCCTTTAAGGGTGCAGGCACTGTACTTCCCATCCCACCCCCCCTTCAGAGTACAGGCGGGGGGTGTCAAAAGGGGGGCTGCCCAGGTGGACCATTTAGGGGGCGAGAAAAACCAAGACCCTCTAAAGAAGGTAACAAAACCCAAAAAACCATGCTGCAGCAACCTAAAGAAAAACCCTTCTTTTCTATTAGCTTATATAGGTTACAGAGTACAAATAGCCTATATAGGGAAAAAAACATTAATTTTGATGATGTGATAGATGATTTTGCAGGGTTGAAGGGAAGGAATTGAAATTCGATTCTTTAAAGTTCCTGTACTCAAGGTTAAATGAACTAGTTTTTTTTTTATTTTTCAAGTTTTTTTTTTTTCATTTTTGAAAAAGAAAAATGTAGGGTTTTTGCCCTTTCTCCAAATGGGATTTAAGTTTATTTTTCCCCAATATTACTAAGATTATTTATTTTATCATAAAGTTCGGTTTATGGCTTTTAAAAGTTCTCGTTGTTAAATATTAGTCACTGGGTATGTAGCAGTGATATAACTGGAGTTTGCTACCCCTATCCCCCCACCCTTGGATTTCATGGGGGTTTTATTATTTTTTTATTATCACACTGGCCGCTTCCCACCAAGGCAGGGTGGCCCGAAAAAGAAAAACTTTCACCATCATTCACTCCATCACTGTCTTGCCAGAAGGGTGCTTTACACTACAGTTTTTAAACTGCAACATTAACACCCCTCCTTCAGAGTGCAGGCACTGTACTTCCCATCTCCAGGACTCAAGTCCGGCCTGCCGGTTTCCCTGAACCCCTTCATAAATGTATTTAAAGCTCACACTCCAACAGCACGTCAAGTATTAAAAACCATTTGTCTCCATTCACTCCTATCAAACACGCTCATGCATGCCTGCTGGAAGTCCAAGCCCCTCGCACACAAAACCTCCTTTACCCCCTCCCTCCAACCTTTCCTAGGCCGACCCCTACCCCGCCTTCCTTCCACTACAGACTGATACACCTTGAAGTCATTCTGTTTCGCTCCTTCTCTCTACATGTCCGAAAACCCCCTCAACAACCCTTCCTCAGCCCTCTGGACAAACAGTTTTTTGGTAATCCCGCACCTCCTCCCAATTCCAAACTACGAATTCTTGCATTATATTCACACCACACATTGCCCTCAGGGCATGACATCTCCACTGCCTCCAGCCTTCTCCTCGCTGAACATCATCCACCCACGCTTCACACCCATATAAGAGCGTTGGTAAAACTATACTCTCATACATTCCCCTCTTTGCCTCCAAGGACAAAGTTCTTTGTCTCACAGACTCCTAAGTGCACCACTCACTCTTTTTCCCTCATCAATTCTATGATTCACCTCATCTTTCATAGACCCATCCGCTGGGCACGTCCACTCCCAATATCTGAATTCGTTCACCTCCTCCATACTCTCTCCCCCCAATCTGATATTCAATCTTTCATCACCTAATCTTTTTGTTATCCTCATAACCTTACTCTTTCCTGTATTCACCTTTAATTTTCTTCTTTTGTACACCCTACCAAATTCATCCACCAATCTCTGCACTTCTCTTCAGAATCTCCCAAGAGCACAGTGTCATCAGCAAAGAGCAGCTGTGACAACTCCCACTTTGTGTGTGATTCTTTATCTTTTAACTCCACGCCTCTTGCCAAGACCCTCGCATTACTTCTCTTACAACCCCATCTATAAATATATTAAACAACCACGGTGACATCACACATCCTTGTCTAAGGCCTACTTTTACTGGGAAAAAATTTCCCTCTTTCCTACATACTCTAACTTGAGCCTCACTATCCTCGTAAAAAAACTCTTCACTGCTTTCAGTAAACCTACCTCCTACACCATACACTTGCAACATCTGCCACATTGCCCCCCTATCCACCCTGTCATACGCCTTTTCCAAATCCATAAATGCCACAAAGACCTCTTTAGCCTTATCTAAATACTGTTCACTTATATGTTTCACTGTAAACACCTGGTCCACACACCCCCTACCTTTCCTAAAGCCTCCTTGTTCATCTGCTATCCTATTCTCCGTCTTACTCTTAATTCTTTCAATTTTAACTCTACCATACACTTTACCAGGTACACTCAACAGACTTATCCCCCTATAATTTTTGCACTCTTCTTTTATCCCCTTTGCCTTTATACAAAGGAACTATGCATGCTCTCTGCCAATCCCTAGGTACCTTACCCTCTTCCATACATTTATTAAATAATTGCACCAACCACTCCAAAACTATATCCCCACCTGCTTTTAACATTTCTATCTTTATCCCATCAATCCCGGCTGCCTTACCCCCTTTCATTTTACCTACTGCCTCACGAACTTCCCCCACACTCACAACTGGCTCTTCCTCACTCCTACAAGATGTTATTCCTCCTTGCCCTATACACGAAATCACAGCTTCCCTATCTTCATCAACATTTAACAATTCCTCAAAATATTCCCTCCATCTTCCCAATACCTCTAACTCTCCATTTAATAACTCTCCTCTCCTATTTTTAACTGACAAATCCATTTGTTCTCTAGGCTTTCTTAACTTGTTAATCTCACTCCAAACTTTTCCTATTTTCAACAAAATTTGTTGATAACGTCTCACCCACTCTCTCATTTGCTCTCTTTTTACATTGCTTCACCACTCTCTTAACCTCTCTCTTTTTCTCCATATACTCTTCCTTCCTTGCATCACTTCTACTTTGTAAAAACTTCTCATATGCTAACTTTTTCTCCCTTACTACTCTCTTTACATCATCATTCCACCAATTGCTCCTCTTCCCTCCTGCACCCACTTTCCTGTAACCACAAACTTCTGCTGAACACTCTAACACTACATTTTTAATCCTACCCCATACCTCTTCGACCCCATTGCCTATGCTCTCATTTGCCCATTTATCCTCCAATAGCTGTTTATATCTTACCCTAACTGCCTCCTCTTTTAGTTTATAAACCTTCACCTCTCTCTTCCCTGATGCTTCTATTCTCCTTGTATCCCATCTACCTTTTACTCTCAGTGTAGCTACAACTAGAAAGTGATCTGATATATCTGTGGCCCCTCTATAAACATGTACATCCTGAAGTCTACTCAGCAGTCTTTTATCTACCAATACATAATCCAACAAACTACTGTCATTTCGCCCTACATCATGGGGGTGTCACCAAAAATTCCACCCCGGGTGACACCAACCCTAGCGACACCTCTGAGTGCTGACACTACTTCCCATCTCTACCCCTCCTTCAGAGTGCAGGCACTGTACTTTCCATCTCTACCCCTCCTTCAGAGTGCAGGCACTGTACTTCCCATCTCTACCCCTCCTTCAGAGTGCAGGCACTGTACTTTCCATCTCTACCCCTCCTTCAGAGTGCAGGCACTGTACTTCCCATCTCTACCCCTCCTTCAGAGTGCAGGCACTGTACTTTCCATCTCCACCCCTCCTTCAGAGTGCAGGTACTGTACTTTCCATCTGCACCCCTCCTTCAGAGTGCAGGCACTGTACTTTCCATCTCCACCCCTCCTTCAGAGTGCAGGCACTGTACTTCCCATCTCTACCCCTCCTTCAGAGTGCAGGCACTGTCCTTCCCATCTCTACCCCTCCTTCAGAGTGCAGGCACTGTACTTCCCACCTCCAGGACTCAAGTCCGGTAATAATGTCTGACTATTTTTCAGGTCACACAAATTCGAACATGTGTGAAGAAGGTTCAGCCAGTGTAGAGAGCTTACCTTCACTGCCTGGTGCTGATGAAGAGGTGGGAGAATATTATTTTGAGTCAGACCCTCTGGCTCTGAAAGAGAACCCTGATTACCAGCAACTGATCAAGGCTATGGTCAAGTTACAAGCACAACGCACGAAGGCTGTTAAGGTAATTAAGAAACTTCGGTGGGAAGTATCTGGCAATGTTTTACAGTCTGAAGCTCTTCTGTATTGCAGTACTCTACTGTATTTCATTATACAATACAAATTTATTTCTTTTCTGCAGTATGTAAAATGTACTTTACATGTAATAAAATAATGTTAATCACAAAGGAAAGCCACTAGTCAAACAGTGTGACTTATTTCCAGTAAGTGCACACTACATACTTCACTAATATGGTAGGTTAGGCTCCACACCGCTGTTGTAAGGCCTGTATTGCCTTAAAGCAAATCACAGCCTTTTTTTTTTTTTTTCACTTGCCAGTGCATATAAAAGCCTAAAAACATGATTACACTATCATTTATTAAGTATGCAGTAGCACTAGGCCTAAAAAAATTATACAAAGTAAAAATAATTTTTTTTTAAATTACTAAAGACCATCTTAAGAGCAAATTAAGCACCAAAAATAATAAATATGAATATACAGCCTCTCCTCACTTAGCGACGTACTTGTTTACCAACAATTCGGACTTACGATGACCTCTCTGACCAGTATGCATATCTAAATAATGTACATTAGAGCTAATTTCCTCTATTCTGTTTATTACAGTACACTACTGTACAAACATCAAAAAATATACCAGAAATGTTATAAATGGTGCAAAAATGACATTAAAACAGTATCAAAGATGGCTGACACAAACCCACTACCATTATACTGCACTCCTCACTTACCCATGAATTATTTACCGACCTGGTCTTAACCCTTTGACTGTCGCAACCCCCAATCCTGAGGTGTCTCCTGGTGTCACAAAATTTAAAAAAAAAAAAAAAAATTATTTTTCTTATGAAATGATAGAGAATCTTTTCCCGATTGTAATGACACCAAAAAAACGAAATTTGATGGAAAACTGACGGAATTATGCTCTCGCGAAGTTAGCGACCTCAGCGATGTTTACAAATCGGCGATTTCGCCAACTTTGAGCAATATTTTCAGCAAATTCCATTGTTCCAGTCGCCAAAACTCATAGCTATTTCTTTAGAACTCCATTTTTTCTATCGATTGAGCACAAGAAACTGCCCATTTACCGATTTCAACTACCTAATAATGTGGTCAGAAATTTGGAATTTGGCCAATTTCACGAGAACTAAAAAATATGACAATTTCAAAATAAGGTCCAGAATGAACAATGCAGACATTCCTGGCTCTAAAATAACATTTTCTTTGCTCATCAGTCACGTCTCCAGGCCCCTCTGATATTATTCTTGCTTTCTATTTTGAATTTTTATTCAAACAAAAAATAGAAGATTTACTATTATGCGGACTACTGCAATACTGTAATATTTGTATAAATAACATCAACCCATTCGTGACTGCATATTAGAATGGCTAGTTGGACATTTATTGGAAAATGGCATCATTTGTTTACTTTTGAACATTGGCAAAAATCAAACATTTCCCCTACTTTGAGCTCCATTTCTAGGTTCTTTTTATAGTAAAATCAATCAAAATCACCTCTATTTCTATAAAATGTTTTCCATTCTATCAAATGAGACCAAGAAAGTGAGAATACAACCATAAATACTATACGAAAATAGACCACAAAGTTAGCATTTTAATAAAAAAAACGGTCGGATTTTTTTTTTCTCATTATGCACTGTGTGCTCCAGGATTTTTTTTATATGGTGCACACTGACCACACAGACCCATTCTCTCACATGTGGGCCTACCAGCTTTCTCCTGCTTGATTTGAAGCCGCTAGAATTTATGAGTATATATACGTCAAACATGGTACCTCGTAAGACGTACATATACGGCCGCGACAGTCAAAGGGTTAAGAACGGAACTCCATCGTTAAGTGAGGAGAGGCGGTAATTGGAAAGTGCCATATTAGTAAGGCACTCTAAAGCGAGCACTGCATTAATTAACAAGGTATGCTTGTATTCAGTCAGGTAATGACAGAGGAAGTCTCTGTTACAGCCATCCACTTGTCTATCATAAAAGTTAGTGTAATATCTTAATTATGCAACCCATACCCATCCTGTGGGTGGTAGTCAAAAGATTACAGAGGTACATAATGGGTCCAGGGACTGTACCCCGAGTTTACAAAGGTAATGAATTTGATTAGGAGGAGGAGCAGCTAAACTATATATTGTACATAAAAAAAATTGCATACTGATTATTTCTTCTGAGAAGCTTGTGTAGTGTTGTTTCAAGGCTTATTATTTTTATTTCCACAAGATATAAATACAGAAGCAGAAAAATTGTAAAAGATTTTGAAGGCTGACAATGTGCTTAATGAGTTGACAGTACAGCTATTCATAAATGCAAAAAATGTGCATAAAACAGAACAGTAATATAGGTGTTTGTCAGTAGCTTCATATACAGTACAGTACTTGCCACTTACTCAAAATATTGCAAGACTAAATTTACTTACATTGTAAAAAATTTTTTTAGCTTGTAAAAGTGAAATATATGTTTGCTGTCTGAGGATTCTGTCTCTCAGACACTGTCAGACACTGCAACTTCTTGGGATCTTAATACTTAGGAATTCTTAGCTTGCCTAATTCTTGGGCACGACCTACTTCCACAATGAACAAATGTGACACCACCTATGACTGCTGCACCTCTCCTGCCATACGGTTTATAAGCTGCTTCTCCGCCCATATGCCGTATTCTATTCAAGATTGATGGACTGAACACATCGACTCAAGGTTGAGGGACTGATTACCTCATTCTCCTGTTCTTCAAGTTTTTCCTACGTATGGACTGATGAAGCCACTGTGTGGCGAAACATTTCCTCAATAAAGATACCCAAGAGTTGCACTTGTGTCTAATTTATCATCCTCTCAGAGGTAATTGTGATATCTTGCTCAAGTTTTGTGTGGGTTTTTGTGAGGTCTCTCAGTAGGTCTGTGTGGGGTCTCTTAGTAGGTCTTTTTGGGGTCTCTTAGTAGGTCTTTTTGGGGTCTCTTAGTAGGTCTTTGTGAGGTCTCTTAGTAGGTCTTTGTGGGGTTTCTTAGTAGGTCTTTGTGAGGTCTCTAAGTAGGTCTTTGTGGGGTCTCTTAGTAGGTCTTTGTGGGGTTTCTAAGTAGGTCTTTGTGAGGTCTGTCAATAGGTCTTTGTGGGGTCTGTCAGTAGGCCTTTGTGGGGTCTCTCAATAGGCCTTTGTGAGGTCTGTCAGTAGGTCTTTTTGAGGTCTCTTGGTAGGTCTTTGTGTGAAATAATTAATATTATATCACTGAATCCTAAGACTAACCTTATTCATTTACATTTATCTATATACACTATTTTTTAAAATAAACTTGATTCATTGTTTTAGCTTCAAGAAACTCAAGTGTTTTTTTCCTTTTTTGAGGATATGGAACGACTGCAAGAAGCAAGAGAGGAGGCACTACGTGATCCTTTAGAATTTGTGACAGCACTGCAAAATGGCGTATGTTTGAATCTTCCTGGTCCTCAGGAAATCACACAGGTACGGTTCATTATTAACCCCCAATTTGGAGGGGAAATGTTAAATGACATTTCAGTCCCTTATGGCCCATTAGCATGTCTAGAAAGAACAAAAAGGCACAATACCATTACTGGAACAACACATAAATAACCCGCACATAGGAGAGAGAAACTTCAGACGATGTTTTGGTCCGACTTTCACCATTTACAGTCACAGTGTGACTTGTAAATGGTCAAAATTGGACCGAAACGTCATCTTAAGTTTCCCTCTCCTATGTGCGGGTTATTTGTGTATCATCCTGTACCAAATGAGAGAAAATTAAAGGTCAGAAGACAGGTCAGGTTAAGTGGTATGGAGAAAACCAAGGTCAGGCCAGGTCATGTGTTCTGAAGAACAGAGTATGTGCCAGTGTACAGCAAAAAGAAGGTATCAACAGAAGCGAAACTAAAACTGTTTATGTAAGGAATGATGTGTATAAATGTTTAATTTTACAAAGGTGGGATCTGAAGGCTAGAAGAGGGAGAGTTTTGGCTGAGGTGTCGCTTATGGAATGACTATGACCTTTAATTTTGACGGAAATGCTGTTAGTGTCACCAAGACAATACAGTGGACCCCTGCCTTACGATTTAATTTCATTCCAGAAGTATGTTCAGGTGCCGTTACCGAACGAATTTGATCCCATAAGGAATATTGTGAACTAGATCAGTCCATTTCAGACCCCCAAAAATACACGTACAAAAGCACTTACATAAATACACTTACATAATTGGTAGCATTGGAAGCTGATCGTAAGGCGGGGGTCCACTGTACTTGTTTTGTATTCTTAAAGTCTGTCAGAAAAGTAAATGGCCAGTTTCAACAATGGCCTGAAGAGGGAAAGGGGATCATGAAATGTTTGACTACATTTAATATAACGGCTGCTCCACGACTTACGATGATTCAGCTCATGATATTTTGACTTTACGATGATGCAAAAGTAATTACTATGGGGATGAAACTTAGGATAATTATCCAGCATGAAGGCAGGAAGTCCATAACTTTATTTATTTACTTTTCAATACTGGTATTTAGTTAGTTTTTATTTTTTTTATTAGCACACTGGCCGATTCCCACCAAGGCAGGGTAGCCCGAAAAAGAAAAACTTTCACCCCATTACTGTCTTGCCAGAAGGGTGCTTTACACTACAGTTTTTAAACTGCAACATTAACACCCCTCCTTCAGAGTGCAGGCACTGTACTTCCCATCTCCAGGACTCAAGTCCGGCCTGCCGGTTTCCCTGAATCCCTTCATAAATGTTACTTTGCTCACACTCCAACAGCACATCAAGTATTAAAATAATTTGTCTCCATTCACTCCTATCACACACGCTCACGCATGCCCGCTGGAAGTTCAAGCCCCTCGCACACAAAACCTCCTTTACCCCCTCCCTCCAACCTTTCCTAGGCCGACCTCTACCCCGCCTTCCTTCCACTACAGACTGATACACTCTTGAAGTCATTCTGTTTCGCTCCATTCTCTCTACATGTCCGAACCACCTCAACAACCCTTCCTCAGCCCTCTGGACAACAGTTTTGGTAATCCCGCACCTCCTCCTAACTTCCAAACTACGAATTCTCTGCATTATATTCACACCACACATTGCCCTCAGACATGACGTCTCCACTGCCTCCAGCCTTCTCCTCGCTGCAACATTCATCACCCACGCTTCACACCCATATAAGAGCGTTGGTAAAACTATACTCTCATACATTCCCCTCTTTGCCTCCAAGGACAAAGTTCTTTGTCTCCACAGACTCCTAAGTGCACCACTCACTCTTTTTCCCTCATCAATTCTGATTCACCTCATCTTATTTAGTTAGTTATAGTAACTACTTGTTTATTTACTTATTAACTGACAGTTACAGTATTTATTTACTTATTTATTTAGCATATCATATTCATATTTGACTTCCAGTATTTTCGACTTACAATTGTTTCATTAGAATGTAACTTCATTGTAAGTCAAGGATCACCTATATTTTGCCAACTTAGGTTTGATTCAGAAACTAAATACAGTGGTACTCCGAGTTTCGAACTTTCTTCGTTCCAGAAGGCTGGTCGAGTGCCGATACCGAACGAATTTGTTCCCATAAGAAATAATGTAAATTAGATTAGTCCGTTTCAGACCTCCAAAAATACACTTACATAATTGGTCAAATTGGGAGCTGTACGAAACTCGGGGTACCACTCTATTACAGTGGAACCTCAAAAATCGAACTGCTCCCAACTCAACCAATTATGTAAGTGTATTTTTGTAAGTGCTTTTATAAGTGTATTTTTGAGGGTCTGAAATGGACTAATCTAATTTACATTATTCCTGATGGGAATAAATTCGTTCGGTAGCGACACTTGAACAGCCTTCTGGACCGAAGAAAGTTCTATATTTGAGGTTCCACTGTACTTTATTCAGTATTTGCATATAAAACTTTCTTTAGCAATTGTGAATTTATAGTTTTGATAAAAATGATATTCTATTTATGCTTAATGCATTTTTTCTTTGAACTAGATTCCACACATTGAATGGGAGAAATATAACGTTAAGTCCATCATGCAAGGCATGAGACCAAACACACGTAAACGTGTTCTTCAGGAGAACTTAGCGGCACAGCAGCCAGTTCAGGTAAGATGTTCACTGCTAATAAATAACACTAACTTTATTGGGATGAAGTAGATTAAATCTACAAAATGTACTGGTACTACAGTGGAACCTTGGTACTCAGTAGATAAATCTACAAAATGTACTGGTACTACAGTGGAACCTTGGTACTCAGTAGGTTAAATCTACAAAATGTACTGATACTACAGTGGAACCTTGGTACTCAGTAGGTTAAATCTACAAAATGTACTGATACAGTGGAACCTTGGTACTCAGTAGGTTAAATCTACAAAATGTACTGGTATTACAGTGGAAGCTCGGTACTCAAACATAATTCGTGCCAGAAGGTTGTTCGAGTGCTGATCTGTTCCATTTTCTTGATTGATGGACGGGTGAAATGTTTCGAGACCCAAACGTTGTTCAAAGTGTCTCATTTATCAATTTCATTAAGTTGTTTGAGAGTTAGAGCTGTTAAGAAGTGGGTGTTAATGCATTAAGGGTTAGTAAAAAATGGGTTTGGTCCATATTTTGTGAATATTATAATAAAAAATATAAAGAGTTGAAAAATTATTAAATATACAGTGGACCCCCGCATAACGATCACCTCCGAATGCGACCAATTATGTAAGTGTATTTAAGTAAGTGCGTTTGTACGTGTATGTTTGGGGGTCTGAAATGGACTAATCTACTTCACAATATTTCTTATGGGAACAAATTCGGTCAGTACTGGCACCTGAACATACTTCTTGAGTGAAAAAATATCGTTAACCGGGGGTCCACTGTACATCAATAATAATAATGTAGTACTTGCAGTTATAATTCATTAATGATCATAAAATGAAAAGCAATAATTTTTTACAGGGTAATATACAGTTGCTTAATATTGATTAAAAGTAAAACAATAACACAATAATTCTTCTTACAGGACAGCAAAGAGTCATTTAATGACGATGCAAAAATTTTGGTACGAGGTCGGATATATGACGGAAGCAAACCTCAAACCTTCAATCAGATCTGGACTGATGAGGAGCAGCGCAAGTTAGTCCACTTACTTTTATATACTACTTGCTTTATCAGGTTGAAATATTTTGTTGTACATATATGTTGGATGGTTGAGAGGAAAGGCGGTTCCTTTATTGTTCAGTGCCATGGCAGCACGCTACCCATAGAGGAGGAGGCCTAGTCCTGGCTATTAAGAGCCCTTTAGGGGTGGAGGTGTGACATACAGAATATGTTATGTGTGGTTCATTCTTAGAGGCAACACCAAGGGTGTTGAAGCCCTTTATAACAGCATCAAGATGCATCCCTTTAACAGTCAGTCATCAAGCTTTCAAGATATTCCCCTCAAGGAAGGTTCCTTGATGTTGGTGAGGGGCTCTTGATTTAGGGAATTGGATCTGTGCTCCAGTTCTCAGAATTAAGCCTGAATGCCTTCCACATCATCCCCCCAGGCGCTGTATAATCCTCCGGGTTTAGCGCTTCTCCTTGATTATAATAATAATAATAATTCAAGATAAATCTTGTTTAACCCATCAATGTGCTTGACCTTTGAGGAGGAATGACTAAATGAAGGCGAAGGGTTCTTGATCTGAGACATTGGAGATACCCTCTCCTTCTTTGGATCACACTTGATTACTTCTCATTTCCCATGTACTGTACTGTAAGATAAGATTTCTTCAGATTTTTAACCCAGAGGGTTAACCACCCAGGACAGCCCAAGAAAGTCAGTGCATCATCGAGGACTGTCTGTCTTATTTCCATTGTGATTTTTCAGTCTTGTCCCCTAGGATATGACCCACACCAGTCAGCTAACACCCAGGTACCTACTTACTGCTACATGAACAGGGACAGCGAGTGTAAGGTAACATGCCCAACATTTCCACCTGTCGGGGATCAAACCACAGACACTCGGTGTGTGAGGTTAGAGTGTTGCCAACCAAGCCATGGGACACCTGTATGACTCGTATAGGTTAAGTGTTTCCACACAAATCTTGCATCCTCCGGTGGAGTGTACCTCCTGTTTTGCAGAGGACAGTAAAATACAACCTGCAACGTAGGTCCTATTTTACGGCAGATAATAGAATTCAACATTCACATAACCTGCACTACATGCAAGGTTAATATTGGACATTTTATGAATGTAATGGTGATGTAAGTGATAATATTGCCTGCAGAATCTTAGTATACAGTGGTCCCTCGTTTTTCGTAATTAATCCATTCCTGGAGCCATTACTATAAACGAAATTTATGATTTGCGAATCAATTTTCCCCATAAGAAATAATGTGGAGACAAAGAACTTTGTCCTTGGAGGCAAAGAGGGGAATGTATGAGAGTATAGTTTTACCAACGCTCTTATATGGGTGTGAAGCGTGGGTGATGAATGTTGCAGCGAGGAGAAGGCTGGAGGCAGTGGAGATGTCATGTCTGAGGGCAATGTGTGGTGTGAATATAATGCAGAGAATTCGTAGTTTGGAAGTTAGGAGGAGGTGCGGGATTACCAAAACTGTTGTCCAGAGGGCTGAGGAAGGGTTGTTGAGGTGGTTCGGACATGTAGAGAGAATGGAGCGAAACAGAATGACTTCAAGAGTGTATCAGTCTGTAGTGGAAGGAAGGCGGGGTAGGGGTCGGCCTAGGAAGGGTTGGAGGGAGGGGGTAAAGGAGGTTTTGTGTGCGAGGGGCTTGGACTTCCAGCAGGCATGCGTGAGCGTGTTTGATAGGAGTGAATGGAGACAAATGGTTTTTAATACTTGACGTGCTGTTGGAGTGTGAGCAAAGTAACATTTATGAAGGGATTCAGGGAAACCGGCAGGCCGGACTTGAGTCCTGGAGATGGGAAGTACAGTGCCTGCACTCTGAAGGAGGGGTGTTAATGTTGCAGTTTAAAAACTGTAGTGTAAAGCACCCTTCTGGCAAGACAGTGATGGAGCAAATGATGGTGAAAGTTTTTCTTTTTCGGGCCACCCTGCCTTGGTGGGAATCGGCCAGTGTGATAATAAAAAAAAAAAAAAAAAAAATAATGTAAATACAATTAATCTGTTCCTGACACCCAGAAGTATTAAAACAAAAAAAATTTTTAACATGAAATATGCATGTAGTACATAAACAATACAATGGGAAATGATGAATGAAACATTAACAGCATAACACTTACCTTTATTGGAGATTCTTCTTAGTGTCTGGGAGACTGGAGGAGGAGAGAGATTGGATTGTTTATAGTTTGGAAGGGGAATCCCCTTCCATCAACACCTCAGGTACCATTTGCTTTTCTGGGGGTGCTTCTCTTCTCTGTTTCTTAATGCCACTAGGACCACCTTGAGAGTCACTCTAGTCCTGTCTCACAAAGTAACTGTGGAGAGAGCTCTGTTTCTGGCATCTCTTTAACACTTCCCTAAAATGGTACAAGACTTTGTCACTGTACATATTTCTCACCACCTTTACCACAGGCTTGGCACTAGGAGCTTTCTTTTGAGCCATGGTAGCTTATTTAGTAATTGCAAGCACTAAAAAGAGTGGAATATTATGAAATATTTCGTAGGAGCACTTGAGGGGACCTTCACTCACTGGTAAATAATGCCAGACTGGCTGGGTAGGGAGGCCGCCCCGGCTCACACCGTGTGCACGCGTCCCGGACGAACTACTATTCGCGAGTCGACCTATGAAAAGCGAGTCCCTGTTTATACGAAAATACCCCTATGATTGGCGAAATTTACGATTGCCGAGAACTACGAAAAGCGAGGGACCACTGTACAATGGTAGCTCGGGATACGAGCTTAATTCGTTCCAGAAGGCTGTTCAAGTGCCGATACTAAACGAATTTGTTCCCATAGGGAATAATGTAAATTAGATTAATGCATTTCAGACCCCAAAAATACACTTACAAAAGCACTTACATAAATACACTTACATAATTTTTCAAGTTTTGAGTTGTTCATATCCCCAGGTTCCACTATATTCCACACATGACACATGGCACTCCCACACACTGCTCAAATTTCCATTTAGTTTTTATTTTTACAAAAAAATGGAATTGGGATCCACTGGGGTAACCAGATGCAAGTCTAACAATAATAATAATAATAATAACTATAATAATTTTATTTCAAATTATACCTAGATATGCAATAATTTGAAAGCCCATAGTATACACAGCATTTTAGGCATCTTATGTTAGGACTAAGATCACTTAACTTTACAAGACTACATAGTCAATTTTTATGTTCCTCAACATAAATGAAGCAGCTGTGATTAGGGTTAGATCTAAGATGTCACCCCGAAGCTTCCACAGCCGAAGAGGACGTTGTCATAAACTCTTACTCTCTATAACTACTATATCGTACATTTCATTGTTATTTTACAGACTTGAGGAACTACTAATTAAATATCCAGATGAAGCCATTTCCTCTCATCGGTGGGTTAAAATTTCCAAAGAACTTGGTATGTATAATATTTTATATATTAATCCTAAATCTCTCAAATATAATGAAATATTATTTACCATTTTACTACTGTTTTTCAATATTATTTTTACGGTGGTATCTCCAGAACTATAAGTGCCTTTTTTAAGTGCCTTTTCTATGTCAACTTTCCAATTTAAGGTAAAGATTAAAGAGTTGGTCCTATAATATTATTCATAAAGCTAAAAAATATAAATAAAGGTTAAACAGTTGGTGTAAGTTAAATAAGAAAGAAAAAATAATATTGTACAGAAATACAGTTGACTCCCGCTTAACGATCACCTCCCAATGCGACCAATTGTGTAAGTGTATTTATGTAAGTGCGTTTGTACGTGTATGTTTGGGGGTCTGAAATGGACTAATCTACTTCACAATATTCCTTATGGGAACAAATTCGGTCAGTACTGGTACCTGAACATACTTCTGGAGTGAAATAATATCGTGAACCGGGGGTCCACTGTATTTAAAGACATGTGAAGAATTAAATAAAACTAATACAATAGTTTGTTTCCAAAATACATGTACAAGTGTTTACATATTTTGAAAAATGAGGTTTTTTTTTTTTTTTTTTCATTTTTTCAGAAAGTTATGCTTAGCACAGTGGACCCTCACATAACGATACTAACCCTTAAACGGTCCAAACAGATCGACATTCAAATTCGTAGTGCTCCAAAAGTAGATCTACTTTTTTTTACATATTTTCAAATATAACAAAAAAAAAAGTAGGTAAAAGTTTTTTTTACACGTTTTCACATGTAAAACAAAAAAGAAGATTACATTTTTTTACATACTTTCAGATGCTGAGAAAACATATATATACGTTAGGACCATTTAAGGGTTAATTGGTACCCGAGAACGAATATTGTTAGGTGAGTTTTTTAGCGTTAGCCGAGGCAAAATGTTAGCGTTAAAATGTATCGTTAGGCTAATTTAACATTATGCGATGCATTCGTTAGGCGAGGGTCCACTGTATATTATAGTAGTGAGAGATGAAGTACACCTGTACTTTGTACAACACCACTGTAGTAATATAGTACATTGGGCTGAACTTTTAATGCAAATTAATATCAATTTAAGTGTACTGTTTTCAATAATGTAAATGAGTTTACACTGCAGGCACACGAACACCACTTCAAGTTCAGAGTCGAGTACAGAAGTATTTCATTGCCCTGAAGCGAGGAGGTTTACCAGTCCCTGGTAGAAACCCCAGAGCATCAGTCATGAGGAGACAGGTAACAAGTGACATCATTCTCTATATCCTCAAAAGTTCACTACTGACTAGGAACTTCTCTGGATACATTTAATATAAATCTAAACATAGGAAGGGTGGAGATATGTTGCAGTTTTGAACTGCAGTGTCGGAATGCCTCTGGCAATACAGTGATGGAGTGAATGATGATCAAAGTGTTTCTTCTTTATTTTGGCGGGCAATGACTGATGTGTTAAAAAAAAAGTGTCTTGATGCTGACGAAGAATTTTTAATTCAAGGAATTAAAGCTGCCCTTCTCCTCCCTAGGTTAAACCCAATAACCTCGTAGACTCCCGGGGCAGTATAACTTATGACTTAGATTTGCTTCCATGCAGCGAAAGCAGCATTTTGTTTATCACATTCTAAACGAAATAATTCACGAACTCGATGGAGAAAGCAAAACAGAAGAAACACTTTCATCACCACTCACACCATCACTGTCTTGCCATAAATGTATCATAAGTGTTGGCAGTACACCTCTGTATCCAACAACTGATAACTGACAGTATAGCCTCACTTAACAAAGGAGTTCTGTTCCTAAGACCACATTGGTAAACGAATTCGTGGCTAAGCAAGGAGCACACTATAATGGTAGTGGGTTTGTGTCAACCATCTCTGATATTGTTTTAATGTCACCTTTGTACTATTTATAACATTTTTAGTATATTTTCAAATGTTTATACAATAGTGTACTGTATATTGTAACACACAGAATAGAGGAAATAGCTTTAATATACATTACAGCGGACCCTCGACTAACAATCAGCTCCCAACTCGACCAGTTATGTAAGTGTATTTTTGTAAGTGCTTTTGTACGTGAATTTTTGGGGGTCTGAAACGGACTAATCTATTTCACAATATTCCTTATGGGAACAAATTCGGTCGGTAACTGCACCTGAACAGACGTCTGAAATGAAATAATATCGTTAGTCGAGGGTCCACTGTATTTAGGTATGCATACTGGTCAGAGAACCCGTCGTAAGTCCAAGCCGTCGGTAAACGAGTATGTTGCTAAGTGAGGAGAGGCTGCATAAGATTCTCAAATAAAATTTATCACCATCTTACACTACATTTCAGGGTGGAAGGAAACGTGCCTCGTTATTCCATGGATATCATCCTGGAAGAATTTCCAATTTTATGAGAGCTTTCAACATGTATGAAGATGAAGATCAAGGAATTAATTTTAACAATATATCAAGTTTGACAGAAGGTGATGCTTATGAAGATGAGGCCACAACTAAAACAGAAATTGTAAGTGTGGAGGTATTCCATACATACTTCAAGGTATTTTATAATGAAATTGTTAGGCAGTAAATTGAAAGTTATTACATGACAGGCATACTTTGCTTTACGACGCTTCGCTTTAGAGTGCTTCGTTAATATTGCCCACTAGTTAAGTAGGCCCGTAATGCCTAGGCATAATAGAGGCTCTCTTTGCATTGCAGCCCACTATTGTAAATACAAAATCTCAATGTACTGTTTGCAAAGACATAAAATAAATAAATAAATAAATAATAAATAAATGGCATTTTTCAGTTGTATTCATGTTTATTATTTTCAGTGCTTGCCTTGCAATACACTGTAGCATTTTTCTTTTTTATTAACACATTGGCCATTTCCTAGCAAGGCAGGGTGGCCAGAAAAAGAAAAACTTTTATCATTATTCACTCCATCACTGTCTTGCCAAAAGCATGGTTACACTACAGTTATAAAACTGCAACATTAATACCCCTCCTTCAGAGTGCCGGCACTGTAATTCCCATCTCCAGGACTCAAGTCCGGCCTGCCGGTTTTCCTGAATCCCTCATATTACCTTGCTGACACTCCAACAGCATGTCAAGTCCTAAAAACCATTTGTCTCCATTTGCTCCTATCTAAAATGCTCACGCACACTTTCTGGAAGTCCAAGCCCCTCGCACACAAAACCTCCTTTACCCCTTCCCTCCAACCTTTCCTAGGCTGCCCCCTACACCACCTTCCCTCTACAGATTTATACACTCTCGAAGTCATTCTATTGCATTCCACCTTCTCTACATGTCCAAAACATCTCAGTAACCCCTCCTCAGCCCTCTGGATAATAGTTTTGGTAATCCCGCACCTCCTCCTAATCTCACAACTACAGATTCTCTGCATTTTATCCACACTGCACATTGCCCTCAGACATAACATCTGCACTGCCTCCAGCCTTCTCCTTGTTACAACATTCACAACTCATGCTTCACACCCAATAACTTATTCTATATACTCTATGTTATTGTACTAATAATATAATGTATTAAAACAACTTTTTCATTTGAACTTTTTTTATATATTTTTATTCCAAATTAAAAAAAAAAACTTTTGTCGTAAAATGCATGACATGAATTTACAAATACAGTGGACCCCCGGTTTACGATCAGCTCCCAATGCGACCAATTATGTAAGTGTATTTATGTAAGTGCGTTTGTATGTGTATGTTTGGGGGTCTGAAATGGACTAATCTAATTCACAATATTCTTTATGGGAACAAATTCGGTCAGTACTGGCACCTGAACATACTTCTGGAATGAAATAATATCGTAAACCGGGGGTCCACTGTACATGTCAATGATACAGATGTATATTTCTTCTTTCTTTCAACACACCGGCCGTATCCCACCGAGGCAGGGTGGCCCAAAAGGAAAAAACGAAAGTTTCTCCTTTTACATTTAGTAATACATGTATATACAGGAGAAGGGGTTACTAGCCCCTTGCTCCCGGCATTTTAGTCGCCTCTTACAACACGCATGGCTTACGGAGGAAGAATTCTGTTCTACTTCCCCATGGAGGTAAGAGGAAATAAACAAGAGCAAGAACTAGAAAGAAAATAGAAAACCCAAAGGGGTGTGTATATATATGTTTGTACATGTACGTGTAGTGTTACCTAAGTGCAAGTAGAAATAGCAAGACGTACCTGAAATCTTGCATATTTATGAGACAGACAAAAGACACCAGCAATCCTACCATCATGTAAAACAATTACAGGCTTTCGTTTTACACTCACTTGGCAGGACGGTAGTACCTCCCTGGGCGGCTGCTGTCTACCAACCTACTACCTAGGAGATGTATATTTACAATATTAAAAAATAAACAGGCAAAATATCATGACTGGAACGATGCACGAATAACCCACATATAATGCAGGTTGTGTATTTAAAATATTATTTGGTAATATACAGGTTGGTTTATATTAAGTAATGTCAATTAAGAATTCCTTTGTATGCATAATGTTCCAGTTAATAACTAACTTTAATTAAAAGTATACCCAGCACATGGGTACAAGTTTTAGATACAGTATCTCACATATTTTGAATTCTCGCATTTATAATTTGTATCTTGAATTTAGAATACAGTATATTTCTAAAATTTGGAATTTTTGGAATTAGGTGAAAACTCAAAATTTTGATTTATTAATCAGTTTATGCATAATATGGTGATACATATAATGTAAAATTTTCAGACATGTTGATGGGTAATGTGCTTTGATAAGACTAATCCTGGATCCAGATGGCATTCTGCCGACAGTGTTTATCACTGCCGAAGAAGTTTTTATCGAGGCGATGTTCCTCTCCATGTAGAGGAAAACATTGTTGTGATAAACACTTGTTGAAGTCCTCCTGTGTCTTCAAAACTAGTTTTGTCTGCAGGTGATGTACTGCAGCAACAAGACTAGTGATCAAGAAGCACTTGAACTTTGCTTCTCTATTAGTGGCTTTTATACCACAAGATGGGCAGCCAGCAGCAACTTCACTCTGGCTGTAACCTTCTCCAGAACATCACTCCATCTGAGATCATATATACCCAGGATGACTCGAGTATGGAACACATTTGTACAGCATAATGATGTCAACGAGATAAAGTCAGTTGATCAAATGAAAATGCTGGCCCACAGATGGCTCCAATTTCATCCTGTTCCCTATTTGTATGTCTCATAACAATAAAAATGCTTTCAAATGAGGTGATGTAGGTAACAGCTCTTAGCTTGCCAATAAAGTTAGGAATCCTTAACCTGTAAATAGCTTGTCAATAAAGCTAGGGATCCTTAACCTTGTCAAACCCAGTGTAAAAAAAAAAAAAAAAAAAGAGAACTCTGCATATTAAATTACCATGCAGTCATTAAAGAACATTTAGCTAACACCTCTTACCAACATTTTGTATTTGAATGATATTAGCATATTATAATTAACTAATTTATATTTTTAGGAGGAGGAAGAGGAGGAGGAGGAGGAGGAGGAGGAAGACATAGCCGAAGAGCTTCATAACACTGAGGAGTACCAACAGATTATGAGGCTGAAACAAGTACGGTCACTAAAGGTCCGTGAAATGGAAACTGGCATTATCTCTCATCCAGGATTCACAGTAAGTCCATTTTATTATTTTAGTAAAAAGAGGACCTTAGTAACCCTAGGGCTTTTCAAAATGTTGTCTGTATATACATGTATACTTGATTTTTTTCAAGAGAGATATTACTGATTATTATTATACAGTATTAAAAAGAAGTGCAAAACCCATGTGGGTTATTCAGTTTTCAAAAAAATTATTATCAGTATTCTATTGTCTGTTTGTCCTCCCATTTCAATTAGTATGTTCATTCCTTTGAGCACATGGCACATTTTCATAATGTAATGATTAACTAAAGAAAGTTTAACTGGTTTGTCCTAGTGACTGTTTCACCAGATATAGACATCGAGATGAACTGGGTGGGTTTGCTTTTGTACATCCATTGAGAGATTACAAATTGGGCAGAATATATCACCTACATTTATATAGAAACCTAGGTAGTAGGTTGGTAGACAGCAGCCACCCAGGGAGGTACTACCGTCCTGCCAAGTGAGTGTAAAACGAAAGCCTGTAATTGTTTTACGTGATGGTAGGATTGCTGGTGTCCTTTTTTCTTTCTCATAAACATGCAAGATTTCAGGTACATCTTGCTACTTCTACTTACACTTAGGTCACACTACACATACATGTACAAGCATACATATATACATACCCCTCTGGGTATTCTTCTATTTTCTTTCTAGTTCTTGTTCTTGTCTATTTCCTCATAACCCCATGGGAAAGTGGATCAGAATTCTTCCTCCGGAAGCCACGCATGTTGTAAGAGGCGACTAAAATGCCGGGAGCAAGGGGCTAGTAACTCCTTCTCCTGTATATATTACTAAATGTAAAAGGAGAAACTTTCGTTTTTCCTTTTGGGCCACCCCGCCTCGGTGAGCCACCCCACCTCGGTGGGCCACCCCGCCTCGGTGGGCCACCCCGCCTCGGTGAGCCACCCCGCCTCGGTGGGCCACCCCGCCTCGGTGGGCCACCCCGCCTCGGTGGGCCACCCCGCCTCGGTGGGCCACCCCGCCTCGGTGGGCCACCCCGCCTCGGTGGGCCACCCCGCCTCGGTGGGCCACCCCGCCTCGGTGGGCCACCCCGCCTCGGTGGGCCACCCCGCCTCGGTCTGTATGCTGAGATTGTTGTTGAAAATAGCATTCTAAAACAATTGTAAAGGGACCATTTCAAGTTTCATGTTGTTAAGGATTTGTAAGTTTTTGTAAGTTTAGATCTGTTTGTGACAATGAGTGGAACACTGTTCCATCTACCAATTTTATCAGTGCTTGCGGGTGGCCCGGTGGCCTGGTGGCTAAAGCTCCCGCTTCACACACGGAGGGGCCTGGGTTGGATTCCCGGCGGGTGGAAACATTTCGACACGTTTCCTTACACCTGTTGTCCTGTTCACCTAGCAGCAAATAGGTACCTGGGTGTTAGTCGACTGGTGTGGGTCGCATCCTGGGGGACAAGATTAAGGACCCCAATGGAAATAAGTTAGACAGTCCTCGATGACGCACTGACTTTCTTGGGTTATCCTGGGTGGCTAACCCTCCGGGGTTAAAAATCCGAACGAAATCTCTCTCTCTCTTGTGTACTCTTTTTCAGAAAGTCTTACTTTCGATAGAGACTTTCTGATTTTTTATGTCGAGTTAATATGCCAACTTCAGCTTTCCTTGTTAGCTTATGAGTTCATTGGCCACACTACTCCTTTTATGACTCACAAAATTGTAGTAATTACAAACAAAGCACAGAATGAGTGCTGTTTGAAGCCTTGGTGAGAGTCCTAAACCTCCTTTTGTCCACTGTTTCCTCTCAGCCCTGTGGTGCCTCATGACCTACACATGTTAAGCATATTTTGTGAATATGCTGTGGTTTTTATAATACAGTGGTACCCCGAGTTTTGGCCATAATTCGTTCCAGAAGGCTGTTCGAGTGCCATTACCGAATGAATTTGTTTCCATAAGGAAATGGGAAGTACAATGCCTGCACTCTAAAGGAGGGGTTCGGGATATTGGCGGTTTGGAGGGATATGTTGCGTATCTTTATACATATATGCTTCTAAACTGTTGTATTCTGGGCACCTCTGCAAAAACAGTGATTATGTGTGAGTGAGCTGGAAGTGTTGAGTGATGATGAAAGTATTTTCTTTTTGGGGATTTTCTTTCTTTTTGGATCACCCTGCCTCGGTGGGAGATGGCCGACTTGTTGAAAAAAAAAAAAAGGAATAATATAAATTAGTCCATTTCAGACCCCCCAAAAATACAGTGGACCCCCGGTTTACGATATTATTTCATTCCAGAAGTATGTTCAGGTGCCAGTACTGACCGAATTTGTTCCCATAAGGAATATTGTGAATTAGATTAGTCCATTTCAGACCCCCAAACATACACATACAAACGCACTTACATAAATACACTTACATAATTGGTCGCATTGGGAGCTGATCATAAACCGGGGGTCCACTGTACACTTACAAAGGCACTTAAAATAATACACTTACATAATTGTTCGAGTTGGGAGCTGTACGAAACTCGAGGTACCACTGTGCATAATGTGCTTTTGAAATGCGAACATGGTAACAAGACTCATGAAATCGTAATGACACGATTGCAAACAAACCATACCACGGGAGGGATTGAACCCACTGGTCCAGTGGCTAACGCGACAGTCTGGAGTTTTGAGACTCTCTGACCGCGGGTTCAATCCCGCCCGTGATATGGTTTGTTTGCAATCGTGTCATTACTATTTCGTGAGTCATGTTGATGGCATTGAGGGGACTTGAGCTAGAGTTCATCACGGTCACGCTAGCTTGAGATTCGTCTGTAAAAACTTGCACTTGTGGTCACAGTGGTGCCTATGCTAACCTTCCTATGGTGTAGAAATATACCTAGTTGGACGAATCTTATTGTGGCTAGCTGGTCCAGTGGCAAACGCGACGGTCTGGAGTTTTGAGACTCTCTGACCGTGGGTTCAATCCCGCCCGTGGTATGGTTTGTTTAACATGGTAACAATTTTAAAGGGACTCAGGAAAAGCAGTTTGCAAAACTTAGTCCTGGAAGTGGGAAGTACAGTATCTGTATTCTAGAGGGGCGAAGATATTGCAGTTCTGAAGGCCATCTGAAGTGTTATGTCAGAAGACTTCTGACAAGACAGTGATTGAATGAATGATGGTCTCCTTGTTTTCTTTTTTGTCACCTTACTTTGGTGGAAGACAAGTGGTGTTAAAATATAATTCCCTGGTCATTCTACTTCATTTGATATATCTTTACTCCTTGTCCTTCCTGCTCCTTCCTTACATTTACCTCATTTCCTTTATCCTTTCAGTAACTAATGTTTTTAATATTATCTTTACAGTGTGATGTGTGTGGCATGGAGCCAATCATGGGGCCACGTTGGCACTGTGTCGAGTGTCCGGCCTCTACCAGTGTCGATTTCTGTGAGAAATGCGTGAAGACCAATTTAACTATAAATTCACACCAGCCTTCTCATATACTGCAGTCAGTTAAAGCTCTTTGTATGAGAGACACCATAGAAGTTTTAACTTAAATAACTCCATTCAGAAATACAGTTGATTTTAACAAACTGAACAAGCTCTTTATTTTTATCAGGAATAACTTAAATACATTTACTTTTTTACATATGTAAAGCTTTTCCTACATTAAACTTTTGAACATTCATATACAGTGGTACCTCGAGTTACGAAGTTAATTTGTTCCAGAAGGCTGTTCGAGTGCCGTTACGAACGAATTTGTTCCCATAAGGAATAATGTAAATTAGATTAGTCCGTTTTAGACCCCCAAAAATATGCTTACAATAGCACTTACAATAATACACTTACATAATTGTTCGAGTTAGGAACTGTTTGAAACTCAAGGTACCACTGTACATACACTTTTGTATTACAAATAGCAGCTTCAATATTTAGGAATTTTAGCCTGTACATAAACTTGCTTATACACCTACCATCTGACTTACGACCACTCGACTTACGACCTGCTCGACTTGTGACCACTCGACTTACAACCTGCTCGACTTACGACCGTATTTTTTATGCCAAATTTCTGGGAAATAAACAACTATTTGTGTTGTACACAGTGTTTATCCTAAACCTTACAGTATAAAATACAGTACTAACAACATAAAAAGTAAAGTAAAACACGAAATACCAAAATAAAACAATAAAATAAAGTCATTACAGAAATGTTTTGTTGATATTCAGTAGTAAAGTTCGACTTACGACTGGTTTCTCGGAACCGAACTCAGTCGTAAGTCGGATGGTAGGTGTACTTGCCTTTCCTTAGTAGTTTCCACAATAGTTTTTCTGTAGAGGATGAAATACTCATTGATTAATATCTAATATATCCAGAATTTCCTTTTTGAGAAATTAAAAATGTGTTAATATTAAATTTGTACTGTAGTTCCCAATAAAACTGCAAGGAATGACTTGTGAAATTGTAATGGAACGGTTGTAATCAGCCGGCTAAATGTAGTCAGGTTCAAAATCATGGGAAGAGTCCTTTAAGATAGCAAGCAGTGTATTATCTACTGTACCATGACATCCTTCAATGATTTCTACACACTGGCAAGTTAAGGATGATCCCTACTGATAGCACCACACTGATATGTTAATTTTAGTACTGACTTACCATGGGGTGTGAATCCCACTTCATTCAATGCATCAATAATGTGTTTTTTATATTATATATTATACCTTAAGCTGAGCTGCACAGCTATGAAGTTTTGAATTGTTAAAAGACATTCTAGAGGAAGTTCCCCAACATACACATTGTCTTTCTGGTGTTTCCAGTAATATTAAGGTTACATACACCAAGGAGGGTATTTTCTCACTGTATATAGTATATACAGGTCTTTCCATGGGGAAGTGGAACAGAATTCTTCCTCCATGAACCATGCGTGTCATAAGAGGTGACTAAAATGCCGGGAGCAAGGGACTGGTAACTACTTCTGTATATAGTATTTCTAAACTGAAAAGGAGAAACTTTTACTTTTCCTTTTGTGCCATTGTGCCTCAGTGGGCCACCCTGCCTCGGTGGGCCACCCTGCCTGGTGGGCCACCTGCCTCGTGGCCACCTGCTCGGTGGGCCACCTGCCTCGGTGGGCCACCCTGCCTCGGTGGGCCACCCTGCCTCGGTGGGCCACCCTGCCTCGGTGGGCCACCCTGCCTCGGTGGGCCACCCTGCCTCGGTGGGCCACCCTGCCTCGGTGGGCCACCCTGCCTCGGTGGGCCACCCTGCCTCGGTGGGCCACACTGCCTCGGTGGGCCACCCTGCCTCGGTGGGCCACCCTGCCTCGGTGGGCCACCCTGCCTCGGTGGGCCACCCTGCCTCGGTGGGCCACCCTGCCTCGGTGGGCCACCCTGCCTCGGTGGGCCACCCTGCCTCGGTGGGCCACCCTGCCTCGGTGGGCCACCCTGCCTTGGTGGGCCACCCTACCTCGGTGAGATATGATCGGTTTGTTGAAAGGAGAAGATATATACAGTTTACTTTAATCCCTATATCAGGGATTAGTCTCCTTTAAAACTAATAAATCAACTAACCAATAAAGCTGTTAACAAGTCGTTTACGTATTTGTTTTAGTTAAGTGCTAAACCCAGAGGGGCCACATAGCACCTGGGGAATGGGAGGTATTGATTTGATCCAGGAAAGGGGAGATAAAAGTCTAATAGATCGCTGGATCAAGAGCCCCTCACTGGCATCAAGGCACCTCTATGAGGGGAGTTGTTTGTATAGAATACAGAAGAATAAATGATTGGTATGTTTCATACTAATTTGTATAAAAAAAATACCTGGAATGACTGTTGAGATTCCTGAAAGCCATTCTTAGATTTGCCAGGTTAGCATTGACTTCAGAGCTTATTTGAAGTGAGCTTTGGCAACATGGTAGGCACTATGCTTACTCCCAGGTCCTTTTTTGTAATAATGTTGGTAGAATTACTGACAATATGTAAAGTAAAAGGACACAAGTGCAACTAATGAGGTCTTTAGTAGTAGTATTACAATCAAAACTAAGTGAAAAACCCACAAATATCACACAACATTGTGATGAGGGCTGTAGCTTTTGTCCCCCAAATCTGTGTCCACTCCTCCCCTCAAGGAAGGTTCCTTGATGTTGGTGAGGGGCTCTTGATTTAGGGAATTGGATCTATGCTCCAGTTCCCCGAATTAAGCCTGAATGCCTTCCACATTCCCCCCCCCCAGGCGCTGTATAATCCTCCGGGTTTAGCGCTTCCCCCTTGATTATAATAATAATAATGTGTCCACTCCTCTGACCCCTTCCCCAAACTTCAAAACCTTTCATTTTCTGGGGTTGAATTCAAGCAACCACTAATCAACCGTGCAGTTTGTCCAGATCATTTTCTGCAGCCTTTCTCCTGCCCTTGACCCCTCTAGGGACGTTCCTTGATGCTGGTGAGGGGCTCTTGTTCTAGGGAAATGGATCTGTGCTCTGGTTCCCTGAATTGAGCCTGAATACCTTCCATCTCCCCCCCTTATGCACTGTATAATCCTACGGGTTTAGCGCTCCCCCGTGATTATAATAATGATCTCCTGCCCTTGTTTGTTTGTATTCTCGCAGTGCTGTATGGCCCTTAAGGGTTTAGCACTTCATTATGATTACTATAACTGGATTCTCCTCATTAATTTCACTTCAATAGAGATCCACATGACTCAATTCCATCTGGCACATCATTTACATGAAGCAAAAAAAGCACTTGTCCTAATACTGATCCTTGTGGTACACTGCTTGTTACTCTTTCCCATTCTGAAGTCTCCCAGACAATCATTTACTTCCTGTCCCTCAGGTATTCCTCTTGTGTGTATATATATCTGGCAAGACAGCGATAATGTGAGTGATGTTTAAAGTGTTTCTTTTTCGGGTGACTCTGCCTTGGTGGGAGACCGCCGGCGTGTTAAAAAAATATATTTGAGATTATCAGTTCTATATAAACTGTATGATCTCTACGGGTTTGGCACTCTGCCTATGAGTGTAATGTTGAACTCTTCAGATTCCTCACCCACCAGTGATGGATGAGTGCACTAACCCACCAGTGATGGATGAGTGCACTAACCCACCAGTGATGGATGAGTGCACTAACCCACCAGTGATGGATGAGTGCACTAACCCACCAGTGATGGATGAGTGCACTAACCCACCTGGAGTTTACCTGGAGAGTGTTCCGGGGGTCAATGCCCCTGCGGCCCAGTCTGTGACCAGGCCTCCTGGTGGATCAGAGCCTGATCAACCAGGCTGTTACTGCTGGCTGCACACAAACCAACGTACGAGCCACAGCCCGGCTGGTCAGGAACCGACTTTAGGTGCTTGTCCAGTACCAGCTTGAAGACTGCCAGGGGTCTGTTGGTAATCCCCCTTATGTATGCTAGGAGGCAGTTGAACAGTCTCGGGCCCCTGACACTTATTGTCTGGTCTCTTAACGTGCTAGTGACACCCCTGCTTTTCATTGGGGGGATGTTGCATCGTCTGCCAAGTCTTTTGCTTTCGTAGTGAGTGATTTTCGTGTGCAAGTTCGGTACTAGTCCCTCTAGGATTTTCCAGGTGTATATAATCATGTATCTCTCCCGCCTGCGTTCCAGGGAATACAGGTTCAGGAACCTCAAGCGCTCCCAGTAATTGAGGTGTTTTATCTCCGTTATGCGCGCCGTGAAGGTTCTCTGTACATTTTCTAGGTCAGCAATTTCACCTGCCTTGAAAGGTGCTGTTAGTGTGCAGCAATATTCCAGCCTAGATAGAACAAGTGACCTGAAGAGTGTCATCATAGGCGTGGCATCCCTAGTTTTGAAGGTTCTCATTATCCATCCTGTCATTTTTCTAGCAGATGTGATTGATACAATGTTATGGTCCTTGAAGGTGAGATCCTCCTACATGATCACTCCCAGGTCTTTGACGTTGGTGTTTCGCTCTATTTTGTGGCCAGAATTTGTTTTGTACTCTGATGAAGATTTAATTTCCTCGTGTTTACCATATCTGAGTAATTGAAATTTCTCATCGTTGAACTTCATATTGTTTTCTGCAGCCCACTGAAAGATTTGGTTCATGTCTGCCTGGAGCCTTGCAGTGTCTGCAATGGAAGACACTGTCATGCAGATTCGGGTGTCATCTGCAAAGGAAGACACGGTGCTGTGGCTGACATCCTTGTCTATGTCAGATATGAGGATGAGGAACAAGATGGGAGCGAGTACTGTGCCTTGTGGAACAGAGCTTTTCACCGTAGCTGCCTCGGACTTTACTCTATTGACTACTACTCTCTGTGTTCTGTTAGTGAGGAAATTATAGATCCATCGACCGACTTTTCCTGTTATTCCTTTAGCGCGCATTTTGTGCGCTATTAAGCCATGGTCACACTTGTCGAAGGCTTTTGCAAAGTCTGTATATATTACATCTGCATTCTTTTTGTCTTCTAGTGCATCTAGGACCTTGTTGTAGTGATCCAATAGTTGAGACAGACAGGAGCGACCTGTTCTAAACCCATGTTGCCCTGGGTTGTGTAACTGATGGGTTTCTAGATGGGTGGTGATCTTGCTTCTTAGGACCCTTTCAAAGATTTTTATGATATGGGATGTTAGTGCTTGATGAACACAGAGTTCCATGAGTCTGGCCCTGGGGCAGAGTGCATGGGCATGTCATTTATCGCCTGTTCGAAGTCATTTGGCGTCAGGATAACATCAGATACGCTTGTGTTAACCAAATTTTGTGGCTCTCTCATAAAAAATTCATTTTGATCTTCGACTCTCAGTCTGGTTAGCGGCTTGCTAAAAACTGAGTCATATTGGGACTTGAGTAGCTCACTCATTTCCTTGCTGTCATCTGTGTAGGACCCATCTTGTTTAAGTAGGGGCCCAATACAGTGATGGATGAGTGCACTAACCCACCAGTGATGGATGAGTGCACTAACCTACCAGTGATGGATGAGTGCACTAACCCACTAGTGATGGATGAGTGCACTAACCCACCAGTGATGGATGAGTGCACTAACCTACCAGTGATGGATGAGTGCACTAACCCACCAGTGATGGATGAGTACACTAACCTACCAGTGATGGATGAGTGCACTAA